TTGAAACCTGTGATCTTCTTCATCCCTGACCACACATCTCTGACATTGTTCCTTTTCAGTTTACTCTCCAGCTTCCTTCTATAAACCTCCTTGCTGTCTCTGATCTTGACTTTGAGCTGCTTTTGTATACTCCTCAATAACTTCCTGTCTCGATCCCTAAAGGCTCTTTTTTTTCCTGTTTAACAGTTCCTTTAGCTCACTGGTGATCCAGGGTTTGTTATTAGGGAAGCATCTCACTGTTCTGCTGGGGATGGTGTTGTCCACACAGAAGTTTATATATCACACACTCAGTCATTTACTATATGTCATATTCATGTGGCTGGCAAAGAACAATCCAATTTGTAGCTTCAAAACATCCCTGTGGGTTTCTTCAGGTTCCCGTGACCACTTTCTCACAGTCTTTGTAGTTACAGGTTGTCTCTGAACAAGTGCATCTCTCTCATTCACACATCTGTTCATTCCTGCTTTTCTTCATCTCCATTCCTCTCCCCTCCATAGCCCACCTCCACCTCCCCAGTCTCTCCACCTGCCCCCCACTTCAGATCACACTTAATGGAAACTCCTGCCTGACCTCATCTGTCAACCTGTTCATTACCACTTCAAACAAAAACAGGTACATTTTCTGCACTACCCTCATTCTTCCCCACATCTGATCTTCATCATCAGTGGAAAGGCTCTTTCTTTCTAAAAATAACAAGGAAGTACAGTTTAGATTTGCACAGAAACAGTGTTTTTGGTTAGACAACACAGAAGTGAACACATTTAGCTTTAAAGTACTGCATATGGTAATGTTTGGTGAAAATGAAACTGTATCCTCAGACCAAGTGTTAAGCACGGTGGTGAAAGGCTGATGATTTGGGCATGTTTTGCACACACGTGGCCCAGCATGTTGCACTGACAAACTCACTCATAGTTTTTATTTACGCCACTTTCTTCTTGAGTCAAATGAAAGGCCATCGATTCAGTAACAAAATCAGTTGTAGAATAAAATATTGAGCCAAATTGTTGCTCAAATGTCATTGCATCTGCAACATCTTTATTACAAACTGTGAGGAATATTTAGAAAATACAGTTTTTGTTATACCTGTGTCTCCTTTTTCTCCCTTTTCCCCTTTCCTGCCATCTCTGCCATCTCTTCCTGGAATCCCCACGTTCCCAACGGCTCCCGGCGGCCCGTTGGGGCCTGGTTTGCCCGACAGGCCCGGTGACCCAGGAACACTGCAAACCAGTCTCGGTGCTCCTTTCAGCTTCGGATCAAACAGCTGCCCAGAGACGCAGTGGCTCAGACAGATTGCTCCTATCAACGCCCACATCTTCAAATCTGTAAAACCATCCAGTTCAAAACAACCTTTAGCAATTAACTCCATCAGATAAGATGAAAAAGATACAATGTCTCATCGTGACACAGTTCAGAGCTGACATCATGGCAGCAGATTAAGGCATGTGTTTTGATGTCCAACAGCATGAAGCCACATGCAGTTTTGTAATCAGGAACAGTTTGAATGTTGCAGCCGCAGAATTACATGAGAAAGACCTCAAATAAAACCTCTCCCTCTCTCTCTCGGTTCCAAGTGCTCTTGCCAAAACATTCCTGAGTTATGACACAACGTAAAGAACAACTTCTGTCAGGGGAACCTAAACATGAAGAAATGTCACTGGAGTCAATGTTTTACAATCTCCTTTCTCACAGACAAAACCTGAGCAATGTTTCTCTAACAGAAACTTTTTTTTAGACTCCATTGAAATGATTTTGACATGAGCAGTACACTCCTGTGAGAAATCAATGGGGAGTTAAGCGGGTGGATTTAGATAGGATTAATACATGCGCCAATTTTTGGCAAATTAGCCYGTGTGGGTGTGAGAACATAAGCATCGCATCTGCTGTTTGTCTGGTCAGTGGAACATTTGTGTAAGGACTACAGCAAAGAAGCATTCCTCTCTGTCTTCAAACAGATAGTGAATTGTTTTCGTCTCTTTTTTCATTGGGTCTTTGATTTATCTCTCAGTTCATTGGRCCAGATAATGCTTATGCAAGCAAATTAAAACCCAGCATTCTTTGATGAAATTCATTTCGCCCAGCATCTTTCATGCCAGAGTTTGGAGCTGTTTTGGTGAAACATTGAAAACAACATTATTCAATGTGTGTTAGCACAGTGGTCCTCAATCCTGGTCCTCTAGGACCACTATCCTGCATGTTGTAGATGTTTCTCTGCGTCAACACACCTGATCATAATGAGTGAGTGATTACCAGGCTTCTGCAAAACTTGAAGACCTGAAGAAGAGCAGGGAAACATCTAAAACTTGCGGGGTAGTGATCCTTGAGGACCACTGTGTTAGCGTTTGGAGCATGTGTTGTATGATTTATGTACGATGCTCAGCTACTACTACACTAAACCTTAGCTCAATATTTGTAAAATGACATAATTTGCTTTAACACAATAGAAATGAAATTGTTTAGTTCACAGCTGCAACTCACTTGTTGTCTTTACGTAACCTTGACCTGATTTCAAAATTTATGATGTCATACATGTACATTAACAGCTGAAAATAACATGAGGGGTTTTAATCTACTCTTGTCACATTATGGCTGTGTTTGTTAAATCATGTGTTGTAATAGCCAAATTGTAGTGCACCAGGTAAATCCTGTACACATTCTTGGAAAATTGAGAAATTGAGGTATGTCGTATAATACATCCCATAAATGTAAAATATATGTTACTGTTGGAAAAAATGTGGGCTGGGGGTGGGGGAACCTTTTCTTAATTGTTGAACTGACGTGGAACAGAAAAGGTGCAGAGTGAATACAAAGACAATAGGAAAGTTAAGTAAAATACAGTGAATATATTACAATGATTTTTAACCCCAAAATGTCCTGAACCGTTTTACAAAAATAAATAAATAAATAAATAAATAAATAAATAAATAAATAAATAAATAAATAAATAAATAAATAAATAGGCAGAGAGCATAACACCCCCTACCCAGCGGTAGACCTAAATTGGTTGTTTAGTTCTGGGAACCATCTTGAGGAAAATTGACTCCAAAATGTAATGAACAGTAGATGCACATCAGATGATCACTTTCTGAGAGAATTGTTAAATTKAGTCCAGTGGTACTAGATATTTTGCTAACAGATGAACAGATCTGACACAAAAGTTAAATCTTACACAAAGATCTTGTATGATCTGTTGGGACTTATACACTCTCTAGACAAAAAATAAAAGTTGCCTCCGAAAAAAAGGTCACACTTTAATATTTTATTGGACCTCCTTTAGCTTTGATTACGACACTCATTCTCTGTGGCATTGTTTGGATGAGCTTCTGCAATGACATGATTTATTTCCATCCAGWGTTGAATTGTTCTGCACTGTAATTTCACTGTGCTCTGTACAATGACAATAAAGGTCTAATCTAATTAATATTTTACCAAGACCTTGCATTGATGATGGTAGAGTCTGACCTTCTCCAGAACATCCCAAAGATTCTTAGTGGACCCTATGGAGACAATCCATGTGTGAAAATGATGTCTCATGCTCCCTGAGCCACTCTTTCACAATAAGAGCCCCATGAATCCTGGCATTGTCATCTTGGAATATGACCGTGCCATCAGGGAAGAAACAATCCATTGATGGAATAACCTGCTCATTCAGTATATTCAGGTAGTCAGCTGACCTCATTCTTTGAGCACAGGCTGTTGCTGAACTTAGACCTGACCAACTGCAGCAACTCCACATCATAAACCTTAGTTACATCCAGGTGGAGTCTTTTTTTGGCCAGCAGTATTTGATTTATTTATTTGATTTATTTATTTTTGATGGACTCCCTTCTCCCCCTATAGCCATCCTCTCCACACCAGTATTTGTAGCAGTATTTGATTTAGGGATGACTTTCAGCTCCTACCTATCAGGATGTGTGTATATTAGTGTGTTGGGCGGCTGTAGTGGAGTGGTTAGGGGAGATGTCCTGGAACCAGAAGGTCGCCGGTTCGATCCCCAGTCCARCTGTTTCARTCGTTGTGTCCTTGGACAAGACACTTCACTCACCTTGCCTACTGATTGTGGTCAGAGGGTCCGGTGGCGCCGGTGCATGGCAGCCTCGCCTCTGTCAGTGTCAGGRCAGCTGTGGCTACAATGTAGCTTACCACCATCAGTGTGTGAATGACTGTAATGTAAAGTGTTTGGAGTCCATAGGAACTTGACTGTACAAGCACTATATAAATTCAGCCCATTTACCATTTACACCAAACTCAAYACAACTACATCTGACTGCATTATGGCCATTGTTGTGTTGGCCGTTCTTCAAATGTTTTTCTAGGCTCTGGTGCATGTTTTGGTAACATGACACACACAGACCTACTGCAGGTTGAAGCTGCTGCACAACATTAACACAGATTGTTTTTTTTATATTTCATGGTTAATGGACTGGTCTTTTAAGAAACAGAGTTGYGTTATCTTTTAAAATGAGGACATCCAGACTGTTCATACAAACTTATACTAACACAGCTGGACACATGTTGTAAACAACATTCTTCCAAAATTTCAGCTTCACTGAACACATTTCAGAAACTTAATAACTCCATCATTTTTTAAATAAAAAAACATCTTTTCAAACTTAGCAGAAATAGTAAATGTGTGTTTGGTAGATTATGTCTGTGTTGTAACAATGCTTTTAAACGGTGCCACATTTGTAAGGAACATGCATTTGTGGGATGAGCAGTAGAACTGAGGATGTGGGTTGCAAACATGAAAACTTTGTCAAATCTTCTCTGCCAAACAGTTTATCCTGCTGTTGCAACAACAAAAATAATCTACCAAACAATAATTTACTTTTCTAAATCTCTGATATGAAACACAGTGAATGAAATGCATTTTGTGAGGTGATGATTTGATGTTTTGTTGGTGATAAATCTGCTTCACAGGAAGAAAGTGTAACTCTTGTTACAAATGCCTGTCAGGGTTTGTGTGACGTCAGCTGGAGTCTATTCTTTTATCTTCCTTCAGTGGAAAAACATTGAGAATAAAGTCCTTTTAAAAGGTTCAGGAACTGTTAGTTGATTGTAAACCAATGACTTCATGCATCATTTGACTGCAAAATGTTCTGAGATCGGACACAGACATAGAGACGGATAGATATTTTGAACCTTACCCCCACACTTTTCCACTGCTCCTCTGTAATGCTGATCAAAGTTCCCACAGTGGAGTGTCTCTGTCCTCCTATCCGGTCTGCTTGGACTGYTTGGTAGGATGAGTCCACACAGAACATGTTCCTCGCTCACAGTTGCGTGCAGAGCTGCAGATGCTCGCCTGTCCAGCGGCTCATGCTGCAAAAATCAGCTCAGACTCCCACCCTCCAACCAGAGAGCACCTCCCTCTCCCACTGATCCACTCCCTTCTGCTTCAGAAACATTCCAAGGCAAACACCTATCGTCATGTGGGTGTACACAATCAGCTGTGTTTTTTCATGAATGAAGACAAAGAGCTCGTTCAGTATTGACAGAGGAAACAACAGCATGTTGGATCCTGTTGAATAAAGTCACACTCATAAATACTTGACTTTATTTGGTATTTACTGATCCTTTTTTCTTTTTGACATTTGTCCCTGCATGGGTGACAACATCTGATTGCTATAAATAATTATTATGACCCCCACACATGAAGCGGTGGTCATAATAATATGCAGCGGGTAAAATAAGTATTGAACACGTCWCCAGTTTTCTCAGTAAATATATTACCAGAGTTGCTGATGACATGAAATTTTCACCAGATGTCGGTAACAACCCAAGTGATCCATACATACAAAGAAATCAAATCATAAATGTCCAGAAATGAAGTTATTTGTAATAATGTGGAATGGCACAGGGAAAAAGTATTGAACACACTTACTGAAATTTATCTAATACTTTGTACAAAAGCCTTTGTTGGCAATGACAGCTTCAAGACACCTCCAGTATGGAGAAACTAGTTGCAGGGGTGTCAAACTCCAGTCCTCGAGGGCCACTATCCTGCATGTTTTAGAGATTTTCCAGCTCCAACACACCTGAT